CCTCTGCCTGTGTATGTGAATGTGCCCTTATTTGGAAATAGGATCCTGCCAGATATAATCAAGTTAAGATGAGGTCATACTGGATTAGAAGGGCACCCAATTCAATGGCTCGTGTCCTCATAAAATGAGGGAAATTGAACACAGACACACTAAGAGGAGAATGTCATGTGAAGAGACAGAGATGCATGGGGAGGACAGCCATGTGGAGGCAGAGGCACACATCTGTGTGATGTGTTGACAAGTCAAAGGTGATGGGCATTAACAGCAACCAAGGGGCAAGGAAGGATTCTTCCCTAGAGTCTTCAGAGGGAGCACGGGCTTCCCCGCGCTTGGACTCGATTGGACCTTGATTTTGGACTTCCAGCCTCCAGAACTGTGAGAGAACACATTTCTGCTATTTCAAGACACTTATTTTGTGGTACAGTCCCAGGAAAATAATAGAGTAGGTGATTCATAAATGTTTGCTGAGTGATTAAATGAGTGAATGGAGGAATGAATGAGTGAATGAACAAAGGCAAATCCAAAGGGGCTCAGAAGCAGGGCTGTGGGTGAATCCAGAGGGGGCTGAAGAAAGCAGAGACCGGTATCCGAGAAGGAGACAAATCTCGAGTGCTTTTGTAGAGAGTGATACTAGTGCACCCTTTCTCAGCCACCCATTCATAATCGCAAAGGGAGGTCAGCCTCACGGCAGAGGATGGAGAGAGGGTAGCGTTATACCAGTGGGGCAGGAGCCAGAGATGCGCTCTGCAGCGTCAGGCTCTGAGGCCCCCTGGGGAGGAGGGTCCCTGAGTGCCCAGGATAACCATTTCTGTGGGAACATGGCAATGATTGTTGATGGTCTTGATGTTAGGGCTGAAGGTGAGTGGACAGGGCTCGGGGACAGACAAGACGGAATGATCCACCCTCAAAACGGGTGCTAAGGGCTTCCCCGGTGGCGCAGTGGTTGCAAGTCCGCCTGCCGATGCAGGGGACACGGGTTCGTGCCCCGGTCCGGGGGGATCCCACATGCCGCGGAGAGGCTGGGCCTGTGAGCCATGGCTGCTGGGCCTGTGTGTCCAGAGCCTGGTAGTAGGAAAGGCCACAGCACTGAGAGGCCCGCGTACCACAGAGAGAAAAAAAAAAAAAAAAAAAAAACAGGTGCTAAAGGCAACGAAAGCAAGTCAGGCACTTGGTGAGCGCCCACCTGGTGGGTGGGTCTTAACGACTGAAGGAAGATCCAGTCCAGGGTAAGCACGGAGCACCTAAGCGGGGTCAGGAGATGGGAGAGGGCATGAAGTGAAAATCAGGACTGAGAAAAAGGCTCCAAGCCTTGACCTTGAGTGAAATAGGGTTGACGTGAGCACCGGCCATACAGCAGCAGAGATGTACCAGGTACCGCGGCTGGCAGGCGAACTCCCTCGCATCTGCAAGGAGAAATCACCTCCCCCAGCTCAGAGTTAAAGAAACTGAGGTCCAGCTTCCCAAGGGCATGTGCTTAGGAAATAACAGAGCTGAGAAGTGAAGCTGCTTCGATCTAATTCCAAAGGCCAAGCCAGGCCTGGTGCTTCTCTCAAGTCAGAGGCTAAGTTACCGTCCCCCCCGGACTTTCCCCTAGTCCTGTGGAGATGTCTCTCTCCTGAGCAACAGAAGACTTTCCAGAGAGACCAGAGGGCATTTCACTACTGCCTGCCTAATGAGCCTTTTAGATAAATATATTTTTCCTGATCTCCGTGCACCACCATGAGATTTTAATACCAAAGATGTGCTCTGTAGTTGCTTATATACTATATGAATATCTGTGCTTTATCCACAAAAAAAGGTAAGATATTTTTTCCCCGTTTCCTGTTGAGATTCCATGGATTAGATCTTAATCCCACTTTTCTATGTAACGCAGATTGTTCCAGGTGACATTCTTCATCAGAACAGGCTTATTTAATAAAATGGGGAAGCTCTTGCTGACCAGGCTAAAATTTCCCAGGAACCAACTAGGTCATACATGCAGACGGAAGCCACTGCCCTTCCACACCAAGCAATTCTCCAGTTCTCTGAGGAACACCGACTGGTGTCCTACAAGTTAACTCAACCCTGACCCTAACTGCTTGGAGTGAGTGCAGACCCTACAGGTTAAGGATTTATTCCCACAAGACTGTCACCCACTTCAGATGCCAGACACAGGTTATCTATCATTTCTGTCCAACTTGGCTACAAATCAGAGGTTCCCACAAACCGCCCCCCTCCCAATGCCCGGGTCTGATAATTTGCTGTAACTGCTTACAGAACTTAGGGAAACACGTATGTTTGCAGGTTTATTATAAAGGCTATATTAAAAGATACAGATGAACAGCCAGGTGAAGAGGTACGTAGTGTGAGGTCTGGAAGGTCCAGAGCACAGAAGCTTCTGTTCTCATGGAGCTGAGATGTACCACTCTCCCAGCAGACAGATGTGTTCACCAATCCAGAAGCTCCCCAAATCCCCTAGTTTAGGGATTTTTATGGACGCTTCATCGCATAGGCATAATCAATTATGAACTCAATCTCCAGCCCCTCTCCCCTTCCCAGAGGATGGGGGACGGTGCTCAGAGTTCCAAGCTACCAGTCATGGCTTCATCTTTCTGGTGACCAGCCCCCATCCTGAAGCTGTCTGGGAACCCACCCAGAGTCACCCCATTAGAACAAAAACCCTCTTATCACTCAGGAAATCCCAAGGGACTCAGAGCTCTATGTCAGGAATCAGAGACAGAGACCAAATATATATTCCTTAAATGGCACAAGTAACCTCCCTTTGAAAGACCTAGAAATGATTTCTGCTTACCCAGCTTCTTGATCCTGACTAATTCAAAGGGCCCCAGGTTTCTACGCCCTCTACCCCATGCCTAACCCATCTCTCTGTTTCTCTATGTCTCTGTCTCTCCCTCACGCGTACACACACAAATACACACACACACACACACACACACACACACTTTTCTAAAAAACTGAGTTAAGCAGCCCTGGTTTTACATTTTTGCCACCAACAGAACCGAGACTAATTCAGTGCATGAACTATGTTCTGTAAACCATGAAGCAATTTGCAAATACGCACCGAGCATGGGAGGGGCTCAGTGAATGGCTGAAGAGTACGGAACTGTGCTCATTAGCCCCTGGCTGACATATCTGTATGCAGGTAGATGGCAGGACTCAAGTATTCATGTGTATTTCATCCTCACCATCACAGGTACTTTGTCTTCCCCATTACAGCCTGATTTCCTTGCCTCAAGCTTGCATTTGTGCCTGTGGCAGAACCCGAAGGAATTCTGGACAGAAAATTCACTGGGCCTCCTGGCTTTGTGGGGAATCGTGAAGGCTCTTTGCAGAAAGAGGGTGTCTGGAGACGAATGTTCAGGATTTAACAGTAGAAAATCTTTGGACCTGGTCCAAAAAGGGATGCGAGATCCCCAGGAGACTAAAGAAGGAGGGAGAAGTCTTAGGAATTTCCAAGGAGGGAAGAATCTTGGGCTCTGCTCCCCCAGAGCTCCCCAGAGAAAGTTGCTACAGAAGGTCAAGGGCAGTGGATCATGCTACGTCCAGTACTGTCTCCAAATCCAAATCCAGAAGTATCTTATGCAAAGTGAGGGGAAGAGGCTGGACCAAGAAAGTCTCCTCTTTAGAGTTTCAAATGCGTCCCTTTGTTACAAAGGGTCCAGAAGCCTAGAGCTGGAAAGGTGGCCTGGAGGCACAGACTTGAATGGCCCCATTTCATACACGAGAAGACTGAGGCTTAGATTTAAGAAGCCAACTCAATGTCACTGCCAAGGGCTGGCAAAGCTGCGCCTTTGGCTGTGCTCCTTGACACGGGATCTGTGCTATTAAGTGTCTGAAATTCATCATAAAGGAATCTGTTTAGAATAAACCAAACTTTTCTTTCACAACCTGGTAAGTGTTAGTCATTGTGCCTTTAGAGAAAATTATTTTGATCAAATTACATTTCTTTCAGTTATACTGTGAGATGGAAGTTATTTGAGGAGAAAGAGGTGCTGTGAATAAAGGCCAGCTTGGGTTGGACCGGGGACGAGTGGGAAAGACCGAAGAGAATACAGAATTCTGAAACAGCGTGAAGGGAGCTAGAATGGGAAAAAAGAAAAAAAAAAAAAAAAAAAGCAAAGCAAAACCAGGATTCCCACCCTCTGGGCCCTCATCCCAGCTTGACCACTGAGCAGCTATGCCTTTCTGGAAAGTCTTCCTCCTTTCCGGGGTCAGCTTCCCACAATGGGCAGTGGAGTTAGGAGATGCCCTGTCTGCCTGCTTGCCTGGGGTTTTATGACATCAAGTGGGTCATGAGGAGCCCCAGGTATTCGCAGGGCTGGTCCTCTAGGGGTGAAAGGCAGCACAGACCTGCTGCAGGCTCCAGCAAGCTATTCTCCCGGTGTCTCTCGCACCTGCTTCAAGCCCAGCTCTGCAGGGAGCCAGCACCAGGCTAAGCCAGAGCCTTGCAGGGTAAGAACGTGAGAATCGAGCAGCCAGCCCCGCTGACATTTCCTGCTCCTTCCCACCGACCGGCCGCAGTACGCAGGCATCCTTAGCCACCCAGGGACCCTCTGATACAGGATTTAGCCCTCTGCCGTAGAAGGGATGCTTGCACAAAACACAACTCATGATGGAAGGGAAATCCACTTGCAGTAGAACATGATCCAGCTCAGTCTTGACCTTAATAGGGAAACTGAAAGAGCTTGGGAACCAGAAAGGTTTTGCACCCAAGGATGTCTCTTAGATGAAGAGAAGCAATAGCATTGATGGAGCTCTTACTATGGGTCAAACCACATTGCTGCTCCTCGATGTATTTTGTTTCATTTATGCCTCCTAACAAACTTACACAGAGGTAGCATCATTCATAATTTATGGATGAGGGAATCAACACAAAGCACATTACTAGAGGTAGTGAAGCAAGCCATCGATGAAAAGCAAAACTGGGACTAGCACCTAGGACAGCCTGACTCACAAATGCACGTGCACACATTACAGCAAACAATTTATTATGTGTGCGTTATGAGGTGGGACGTGTATTCAGTGCTTGGCATGCATTGTCTCATTTTTCTCTTAAAACAGCTCCGTCAGACATATTATTATTCCTACTTTATGAGAAAACCAAAGCTCAGAGACATGAGATAACTCAACCGATGTCACACAGCCAGGTCTTATTGATGCCAGGTTCCAAGGTTTAAATGTCATGATATACTGTCCTCCTGGGAAGACCCCAGCTTGTCTTTCATGGGAGAAGTAGAGAGAAAGTGTGAGTTCAGGAAGCCATCATTCTCAAGTTCAATATGGTTGCTCTTAGGGAAGAGCAGTGCAGATACTAACCCCAAACCGTGTGTTTCCCACACTGCCTTCACTCCAGGAGGGGCTGTGAGTTGTACGGACATCCTCACATGGCAGGTGATGGAGATCCAAGGTCTCATCTTCCCACTTCCTGCACAAAGCAAGTCATTTTGGGGAGAAAACTTTCATAATCTGTCCAAAGTCACTTTTCCTTCTTTATCTGCTCAACGTATTGTTGGTGTTTTCCTATCAATAATTTACAGCTTCTTCTTAAATATCCAAGATAATAAAAAAGTTATAAAAACTTGCTAGGAGACTCAATGCTCTCAATGACACATCTTTTTGACTCTGCCCCTTTTTTTTTGGTATTTAGTACTCATTAGGCACAGACTGTAGGTTGCACATTTCCAGACATTAGCTGTGATCTCTTTGAAACACCTACCTCTAGAAAATGGACCTCAGCTCTGTTCACTAGAAGCTTCTGCAATGATGGACATGTTCTCTATCTGTGTTGTTCAATACCATAGCCCCAGCCCTCTGAGACTAATATGCACTTGAAATCTGTCTAGCACAACCAAGGAACGGAATTTTTAACTAAATTTACATAGCCCCGTGGGACTAATGGCCACAGGATTGGACAACACAGACCTAGATAATTACTAAGAAAATACCAGCCTGGTGCCTCACTTATACACTTATTTTTATTGTAAATATGGAAGGATTTCAGTTTGTTTATCCAATGGGTTTAATTCTTGGCCCCAGTATTTTGCACTCTGGGAATTCACAGTTATGTAAACACTCTTTGCACGAAATTAAGTTCAAGAAAGAGGCCGTGTACTGGTTTATTAGCATTGCACTCTAAAAACTCCAAGTCATAATTAAAAGATTAAACACTCACAGACGCAGTCTCGCAAGCATTCACTGCCTACCTGCTACTCAACAGCGTCAAGGTTGAAGGGCAGAAATGCAATGATCACATCACCTACGTGAGTTACACCTGCAGAAATGCACCTGTCCGGCGTGAATGGCGCTGGAGTGGGTTCTGCATATGACGGAGGTGCCGGCTCCTTACCAGTAAGTTTTCTCTGTTTAATAGTTTGCTCCCCTTTCCTCACTTATAACTGTGCCTTTTCTATGGAGTCCTTACCTTGTACAAGAAGCTTGTGTAATAGGGAAATGACCTCCCATGAAGCATCGGCATCACGACATCTCTCTCCAGAGCTGCATCCTTTCTAACTCCTGAAAGGGAAATGCAATGGCCACTCCAACACTTCAAATGCACAGATTCATCAACCCAATCCAGAGATCTGGGTTAGAACAACCACAGCATGGCCTGGACAGCTGTGTTTTTTCAAAGCTCCCCAGGTGATTCTGAGCCGCAGCCAGATTTGGGAAACACTGACCCAAATCGTCCTCTGTTGACACAGGCTTTTAGCAGCAAGGTCAGCTCTGAAGTCCTGCCCCCCGCCACGGGGCGCCAGATGGGAGCGATCATTATAATCACAACTGCTGACTTTCTCCCACGTGCCATGTCCCGTGCTAGACACTTAATATAAGCTGTCTCCACATAACCCTAGGAGAGAGGGGCTTCTATTCCAGGAAGAGTCAGAAGCTTAGAGAAATTAACACATGTTTGTTCAACCTCTATGTAACAAATAGTATTATGTACCTGGTCTGTGCCAGGTGCTGGTCCAGGATGTGGAAGCACAGCAGTGAGTAAAAGATATATCTCTGTTCCCAGAGAGCTTACATTCTAATTGGAGGAGACAGACAATAAGCTATGTCAGATGGCAAAGGCCACGAGGAAAACCCACAAAGCAGGGTGAGACAGATAGAGAATGACGCAGGGGCTGTCTGAGGCAGAGACTCGGGAATCTGCTCCCATAAAGTCGCCTTTCGAGCAGAATCTGGAAGAAATTCCGTGTTTGCCACGAGGATCTAGAGGAAGAGCTGCCAGGTCCTGGGAAAGCACGTGAAAGAACCCTGTGGCCAGAGAGTCACACAGAGGACAGATGGTGGAGCCTGGGTTTGATACAGCTCTTTCCAGCTCCAAAAAGAGCTCTTTCTGTGGTCTTGTGGTCACATCTTTCTGGCTCACTGTGTGAGCAATTTTGTAGCTAAGTGACATTGGACAACTAGTTTATCCTTTTTTCTCATCTGCAAAAAATGGAGTTTGGCAAAACTGGGAAAAGTCTATTGCATAGCAAGTGGGGATTTGTACACACGTGGGATGGTTTATTCCTCCAGCACTGTGAGATGAGCATTGTTATCATCTCCATTTTGCAGATGAGGAAACTGAGGCACACAGAAGGGAACTGGCTCTCCTAAAGCAACCCAGCTACTATGAGGCAGAGGCAGGATTTGAATCCAGATCTGTAGAGCCACATGTAACACAATCATTTATTCCCTTTGGAACGTTCTCTGTTGCTGTCATGTACGCCCCCAGGTTGGTGTAGTCCAGGGAGAATGCGCTAAGCGTCATGGACTGTGAACTGCACCCTGGTGGCTGAGCTGGGCTTAAATAACATACGAGGTCCCAACCCTTGTGAAGTGAGAAATTGGCAGAATTCACCTCTTAATGTTGATTTCAAAGGAAAAAGGAAAGAGAGGCTTTCACTGAGGCATACGATGGCTGACATATTAGAACATCATAGCTCCAAATTGCAGACTTATTAAAGCCATTAGAATAATTATAATTGAGAATTTACTTAAAAGCTCATAATGACTTTTTAGACAACCCTTTGCTTGAGCACCTTCTCCCATCTCTATCATCCTCCCTCCTCCTTCCCGGACACAATCCACCGAGACCCTGATGGGAGACTTTGTTCTCTCTGCATCAGTACCTGCAGAGCCCACAGCCTTATGAGCATCACGGAAAATTCATGCAGAAGAAAGGAAATGAGCCTCTCCAGGCTGCTTGTTTTGCTTCGGTCGTGTCCTGCACTTCCTTAACTTGTTTGAAGACGGGGAAGCCTGGGTTAAAAGCCCTGTTCATCTGGTGAACTCCTACTGATCTTGAATGACCCAACTGCAATGCCCCACCTAAGAGGACCCTTCTCCAGGCAGGCAATCAGTTTCCCCTCTAGGCCCCTACAGCTTCTATGCATGACTTGACTAGAGTTGTTTCGTATTGCAGTTTAATTTCTGTATTTACATATCAGTCTTGCTTGGCAGGCCATGTCTTACCCATAGTTTAATTCTCCCAGTGTTTATTGTAGAGCCTGACACACAGAGGAAGCTTAACAAATAAATTAATAGATGACTAAATGAATGAATAAATGAATGAACTGGCCCATGTGTATATTGCTACTAATGACCCTCTTTAGATATGAGAGCAAACATGCTATAATATCTTAATAGGAAATGCAGATATATCAGAGATAAATCAGAGATTATATGTGGAATCTAAAAAAATGATACAAAGAAACTTATTTACAAAACAGACTCACAGACATAGAAAGCAAATTTATGGTTACCAGAGGGGATAACGAGTGGCGGAAATAAATTAGGAGATTGGGATTAACATATACACACTATTATATATAAAATAAACAACAAGGACCTACTGTATAGCCCAGGGAGCTATACTCAATGTTTTATAACAACATATAATGGAAAAGAACCTGAAAATGAATAGATAGATAGATAGATAGATAGACAGATGATAGATAGATAGATAATGTATAACTGAATCACTTTGCTGTATACCTGAAGCTAACACAACATTGTAAATTAACTAGACTTGGATTTTAAAAAAGGTTAGAAAAAAAAGGCAAAGTCTCACCCTTAGGTAGCCTCTAGTCTATCAAACAACAAAAGGTTATAATCTCAGACAGTGATATTTTCTATTAAAAATAAAACACAGGCTAGTATGATAGAGTCAAGGGCGATGAGAGGCAGCACTAGATTGATTAGGAAGGGTGTGGCAGAATTCACTAGCTGCTTATCCAACTATCCACCCTATTCATTCTTATAACCTGAGTTTATTCCCAGAAACAATGTAATAAATACTATGTTCCCCAGCCTACCTTGCAGCTAAGGGTGGCTAATATGATATAAAAGTAATATTTGAAAGTTGAACTTCCTGGAAAACTTCTTAAAAGAAGAAACTGACAGATGGAGGGTGGATGCATTGTAGACTCTTCTTATTTGCTACCTGTATCTATCTGGAATACATATATGATGGATGGAGCTCCAGCAGCCTTCCTTGAACTTGAGTATAATCTTCAAAGACTGATGAAACAAAGGTTGGTAGAAGAATCCCAGTCCCTAATGACTTCACAGAATCTTTTCCAGACCTATGCTGCCTTCTCTGGCTTTATGTAAATGAAAAACCTCTTGGTGTAATAGCCAAAAACCACTTTGGAAATGTGCATTTCCTGTCCCTACCACTCTGCACGCTGCAGAATTTGTGGTCACGGTTCCCAAAGGAAAATACTTCTTTAGGGGACACAATGGGAGTTGCACTGAGCAATGAGATATGGCTCTCCATGCCAAAGGACCAGCTAGCCAAGAAAAGCAGGGACCATCCTAGCCAGAATTTAAGATTCTGACCTTGGGGGGATGCCGTGTTGCTGCTACAACAGGTGGGAGTTAGGGGATGTGTTTGATCCATTTAGGCAAGTCTTGATACTCCTTTTCTCATTTTAACTGTAAATAGACACATGCAAGAACTCCATCTGAGAAGAGCCCAGTGACTGGAGCATCAGATCCTTCAGAGATGTGGGTCTGGGTCACCCCAGCAGATAAACCATTGAGACTGACAGGTGCTGGTTGGAGGTGAAGGGAATCTAGAGTGGATGATGGATAGTGGACGAGTGATAACTGTCTTCTGCAGCCAAGGCCAGCCACAGTGTTGGGGGCTATAGCGCATCCCACTGGAATTCTACTGATAAATTTCCCCAGGAAGAAATGTCCACTGGAACGCTGAGGAGATGCCCCTCAAATCTCTCTGAAGAAGTTGACCTGAGTAGTACCAGAGTTTGGCTGTGGTGGGGAGCTGTGAAACGTGGCCCAACCTCCCTCAGAACTCAAGGTCTCAGCGCCCTGCTGCCGACAGACAACATTCACCATTGGTCCCTTCAGGGATTCCTGAAGGGAACGCCTCCTGCCCAGTGATAGTCTATGCCTTTTTAGAGCCCAGCACATCGTTGCTGCTCAGCGAATGCTTGCTGAGCGAATAAATGAGCTATCTAGGATTTCCAGGGCAAGTTCCTGGTAATGAAATGGTCCCCAGCAGGTCTTCCCACCCCAGAAACATGGCCCTGAGAGAGATGAGCCTGGTTATTTCCATTCCCCTTGCAGATGAGGACTCTGCCTCTCCCAGAGGTCAAGTGTCCATGTACTGTCAGACAAGCAGGGAACTTCAGGGTCTCAATTTGAATCCAGGTTTCAAGCTCAAGAGGTTAAGCTTGGGACATTCCTTTTGTCTTCGGTACATTGAGCAGAAGTACAGGGATAAGTCTGCGTTTCAAATTATTCTATGAGTAAATTAAGAATAAATAAATGCTGCCCCCCACCCGCTTTCTTTCTATTGTTTGCATACGTGTTTCCTCCTAAGATTAACAGGCAAAGAAAAGCGCCAGCTTCCTGAAAGGGAATGCTTCTTTAATTTGTGTGTGTAAAAAAAAAAAGGCCAAATTGTTTGTTCTATTGTGAGCCTTGTTTAACGAAACTTCCACCTTGGTAATGTCTTGGTCTCAAACACAAGATGTCAGGCAGGTCAGTCATGGGAGTTACTCATGAAGCCCACACACAAGGAAGCCTGGGGAAGAGGTTTCTTGCCTTCCACAAGCAATGTGGCCCCGAGAAGATGGTTACAGATCCTATTTTTTTTGAAAATCATATCCTATTTTCCGTTTTTTAAAATATATTTATTTATTTATTTTTGGCTGCGTTGGGTCTTCGTTGCTGCACGCGGGCTTTTCTCTAGTTGTGGTGAGCTGGGGCTACTCTTCGTTGTGGTGCGCGGGTTTCTCATTGTGGTGGCTTCTCTTGCTGTAGAGCACGGGCTCTAGGCGTGCGGGCTTCAGTAGTTGTGGCACGTGGGCTTCAGTAGTTGTGGCTCACGGGCTCTAGAGCACAGGCTCAGTAGTTGTGGCACACGGGCTTAGTTGCTCTGCGGCATGTGGGATCTTCCCGGACCAGGGCTCGAACCCGTGTTCCCTGCACTGGCAGGTGGATTCTTAACCACTACGCCACCAGAGAAGTCCCTCATATCCTATTTTCAAAGTACTGAG